CTTCGCATTTCAAGTCTAACCTTAGGTTTGGTGAAGTCGACATACTTGTACAATGTCAGCACAGTGAATATCGTCAACAGTGCGGCCCACCAGTTGATAAGGAACATCATAGCGATACACAGCAAGGCCCCTAACAGCGACACCCACATGTTGTAGTACTTAAACGAGGGCCGCCATCCCGGAGAACGCGACAACGAGGCAGCAAACACGGCGTAGTTGATGAGAGCGTAAATAATGAGGTTAAAGCTCGAGATGACTGGGGCAATCACGTTGAGATCTCCGATGGCAATGAACGCTACCGCCACGAAGAAAGCCAAGATGTAGCCCCTACGAGGTTCATTGCCAGGCCCATAACCAACACCAAAGAAATCTATGTGAGGAAAAAGCTTGTCTTTGCAAACTGCTTGGAATGCTTTGGGTGCCCCGATAAGATTCGTAAGAGCAGAGGACAAAGTGGATGCAAAGATGCCTGCTGTTACAATTGGACCCAATCCGGACACTTCCTCCATAACCTGAAAGATAAATTAATTAAAAGATAACCACGTTAATATGTTATAGATCAATCAATTGATTGATGACTAAAATTTCGAAGTAATTGGCCTCAGTCTTTGGGGAAAGTTGTATACATTGTATACACTGCATTGATACTACATGTAGGAGCATTAATGCAACACAAAGAGGCCGAATGACCTTCAATAACATCTTTGCCAGCTATTTTCACTCATAATTCTCACTAGAAGTCAGTAGACTTTATCCATGACATTATTGAGGTCAATCAGCAGAACGACCCTGATCTCAGAGGAAAGGTCTTTTGTAACAGGGTGGTACAAAGGAGCCTGGACCGAAGAATTTTCAAGCCAAGCTATTCTATCAAACCCTCTAACTCCCATAAGTGACTCACATGTAACTTCTCTTCACAATACACATAATTATAACATCAAGCAAGCTGGTAATGAGAATGGTATCTTGAAATAACACCACATTCTTGTGAATAATTTACAAGGAGATGTGTAGAAGGTAGCGGCCAAGGATTTACAATCAGATCTTGGGAGTTAAAAGGTTGAAGTGAATAAGATGGATGGAATACTAGTGCCGTATGTGCAATATTTGAATAAATTTACAATAAATGCTTTATTTATCTAAAGGAAACCTTACCTGAAAATTGTTTAGAAGCCCATATCTACACTCCTGTTCTTCACAAGAAGCCAAAGTCTTATTGGCTGTATTTTGCAACACCTCCTGCACAAACCCCAGAGCTTCCCTTTCGACGCATCCACCCACAAACCAGGCAAGCATGATATACACAATGGTGCTGATTAGAATGGCCAGCAGGGTCCCCTTTGGAATAGCCTTGTGCACATCTTTGAGATCACCAGATATATTCACCCCAGCTAAAATCCCTGTTGCAGCAGGAAAAAAGACTGCAAAGACAGAGAAGAAACTCTCGCCTTTGTAGTCAGGACTCAAATTGGTCGCAAACACTTCCTTTTGGTACCCAACAAAACCTCTGCTTCTGCTTTCATCTGACTGTGGCCCAATGAAAGTTCCAATCAGCACATTGAGAATGGAAATCACTAGTACTATGAGAAGTAACTTTTTGACACGCACAACCCATTCTAACCCAATCATGGTGATGCCGAGGAGAATGACAACAGTTATGAGGCCTACAATGCGTATGTCGTTAGACTCATCTACCATCAGGGAGCCCTTGTCCCGGAGAATATCCCGCACTGTTTCTGAAAAGCCAACCACATACATTGCTGTTGCCACAGCACTGGCTACTGAGAAGATTATGCCAATGGAGCCTCCAAACTCAGGTCCTAGACTACGGGAAATGAGATAATAGGCACCACCTACAAGGAAAGTATGTTTGCTGAATATTTAATTTGCATCACTGAATTGTGTTTGGAGAAATTAGGTGCCTGATAGTAACATGCATCATCCAGAATGCTAAACCATTTTGGCTCCAAGATCTAATTAGTAATTCTCCATACTGTCTGTTATACAATTCGTATTGTGTTACTTTGGAAGAAACTGGTAATGGATAAACTAATAATCCCCTGATGAATATTTTAATTTCTTAATTTTGATCACTTTTTTGCTTGATATTATTCAATATCGTGAGAAAAATTCTGTTCTGGTAAATTATATCACTCAATATGCTAAAATATTTTGGGGACTCATCATATACTCAAAAAAAGTTCCATCCTGATTGGTCAATGATGAATACATAAATAGGTAAATAATATAGAGCGGAATACTGGATGTGCATGCAGTGCTGTGCTAATGACAAGTCAGTGCTTATAATAATGTAATGTATCATGCCACATGATAGCCACTCACCTCCTTTGACTTCACCATTGGTACAAACTGAAGATAATGATAATGTCGTGAGAGTAGTTACCACAGCAGACATGATCACAATGAGAGAAGACAAAGCTATTCCAGCTTGTCCCACCACCCAGGGGAGCCGTAAATAAAGCATCACACCCCATATGTTGAGCAGACAGCCAAAAAGCACACCTTCGATCCAACCAAACTTTGGTGCACTCTTCCCATTTCTTTTTCCTGTAGAATCCTGGCCATCTATGCTATCATCCAGAGGGGCAGTTTCCTCTGTAAATTCAGCCTAAAAAGTAAAATGAAAATTTGAAATGAGTATAACTCACTTTGCTTCATCCCTGGTGTAACCCCTTCAACTTTACTTGTAATTAGCCGACTGATTTACTACCTACATAATAAAGATTTTTTCATGTTATTTTATTTGGGGTCAGTAATTTTAGGTTATTTGAGTGTTTTTGACCAGTAGGCGACAATGAAAACTACTGTGTCACTCTCACAAAGTCATCTGTTTTTTCTGGCAAGTAAAGATTAACTTGTCTACTTGTAGGCCAGTCCAATTTATCAGTGTACCATATATAAATCAAAGTATAAAGTTGTAATCAATGGTAAATATCATTTAATTCAAAGCTGTTCCATTACAAAAGAGTTGATCATGCATGCCAGCAGTTTTAACATAAATAAAAAGCACATATGCCAGAAATAGTCATACAGCTGTAAATATCTTTATTTTGCATCAAATTCTTAAAACTTATCTCAAAAATATTATAGATAATAAATTGTAGAACACCTGAAAGATTAAATTGTTCAGATTTTTAATCAAAAGGTGATATTTTACAATAACAGTGAACTTAAACTGGTTACTTTTAAAAAAATAATGGCCACAAATTTCTGTCCTCATAATAATCTACTTGCAATGTTGGAAAAATGGTTGAAAAGTTTGAAAATCATAGGCCACTTTCTGTGGTTGTTCAAACATGCTGCACAAATTAATAATTCAACAAACTAGGAAAGGTTCAATGATCAATTGCTCAAAACAGAGCTTTTACAATCAAAAACAGTGAGTGAGCTGCCCATATAGTCAATATGAGTGCAAATGTTTTTGATCAATCAGCTCATTTAACCAAGTGGAGCATGTCAAGGATACAGACACACTTAGGCTATGTTCACATGGTACTGAACATATTGTCAACCTGCTGAAAATTTCAACCAGACATTCTGTTCCCATGGAACCATGTGAAAGTTTTGTTCTGTTCAGATGGAACTGATAACTGGATGAATTTTGTGACATTTTTCACTGTTTTATCATCTCCTCATGTGCAGAATGCTTCTTAACCCAATGCAAAATAGCATTCAGAAAGGAAAAAGTCAATTTGCTGTAGATTCTGGAAGACAAAGGAAAGGGGGAAGAGTAGTAACAATATGATTTGATGAATGCACGGAACTATTATAATAATGGTCTTGATATCCAGCTGTTGAAGCTATGGATAATGGCATTGAGACCAGGGAAGAGATACCTACTGATGAAAATCCGGACAGAAGTGAATCAGGATCAATATCTTTGGCAGCGAATAATGCCACAATGGAGGATAACACTGGTGAGACAACCTCGGCTGAAAGTGGCAAGGATGCAGTTAAAAAAAAAACTGCTGATGCAAGAAGTAACTTAATTTCTAAACTGAAAGAGAAAAAAGATTCTAGGTTGAGAAGAAAACCACAACAGAGAACAGAATGTTAGCCCTTGGACACGAAGAACTCCAATTGAAAAAAAAAAAGGATGATTGACTAGCTTGAAAAGTCAGAAGAACAATGTATGGAAAGTATACAAAGTTTTACCGCTAGTTAACATTTGTTGAGCTCCACATTGCAGGATGGGTGCAATACCCTGGGGATGATGCACCAGAGTCATCAGCAGAATCAGCACCAGTGGTATAACTTTCATCCCCAATATCAGCAGCAGCAAAGTGACACACCAGGTTTTAGGCAGGATGCTTCACATTTTAATTAGTGTTGAACAATAAAATTCACGTTGTGTCTAATGTAACTGTTGGATTGTGCACTGTTTTCGCATTCTGTTAACAAAGTTAAGTTGCATTTATCATGTGCACTACCAGTGTGCCTGCTTATTAGGCAGAAAGATAATAGTAAGTGCACCAAAGATTTTGTTATTGCACCATTTTAACCCGTAGATTTTTATTTTTCTTGTAAAAATTGCAATGTACCGAGAGCAATATTATATTGATGTAAGTAGTCAAATGTCTTGTATATTACTTGTTGCCATAAAGAGTTGTCGAGGTTCATATTTGTAAGAACTCCCTTCCTTAATTCATAAGGTTGACGCTTGTTGAATAACATTCAACCAAGAGAATGCTTTTTCATCTTTATTTTATTAGTAAAATCAACAAATACAATTATCTCAGAATAAAAAAATGCTCGAGGTAGACAGAACTGATATGAACAGAAAACTATCTGAAAATATCAAAGGCAAAGGTAGAAGTAGTTTTAATGTTTTAAATCAATAAACTGTGTATGTGTCAAATGGGGCCAGTTCAGTGTGA